AAATCAGGGGCATATTTCACAAGCGTCGTAATGTTAGGATTTCAACCCATTAGGATGCAATCTAAGGATAAATGGCGTTCACAAGGGCCCTTTCGTTAGGTTAGGTTAGGACTTTAGGACATTAGGATCCTTACCGTTAGGATTTAGGATATTAGGATGCCTTTATCCTCAAAAACAGGCTGTTAGGACGCTCGGCTTTCACAAGCTATATTTTTAAGGAAATTTTCATCCTAATGGTAAAGTACCTCGGGGGGGTACTTTACCGACCATCCTAAAGTTAAAGGTGTACAAGACGACTCGCTACGTTCCGCCAAACAGTCGTTGGTTCGAAACTCTGCAAGTACATTTTTAAATTAATTTGTAACTTAAACAAAAATCTCACAACTATTAACAAAACTCTTTACCAAGTTCGATACTTATCTGTAGTAACCGGAACTCTTATTTGAAGCCAAGCCGTAATGCAGGTGAGGACGAGCGCTAAACTTCTTTACAAAAGAGGCCTATCCTTGAGAAATGAGGATTTACACGCACGAAGAAACCACATGCCCAACACGGACCCCATGTTCATTGAATCAATTATGGGTCAATTCAGAATCGATTCTAGCATGATATTAAACGCGTATTAAGCGACTCCGGAAACAGTTCTGAGTTCCGGTTTATCGAACGACCCCGGAATGTCGCGGATTCACCTGCTGTGTGAACCTTTACGCGAAGGGTACAACTGGGACTGAAGCCGGACACAGCTGTCCGATCCTATCATGTTCCTGGGATCAATATGAAGGCATCGCCGTACTCAAGGACTATTTAAATTGATAAAAATTCTAACCCGTCGAGGAGACCTCTCGACCATTATAGCCGGGCTCGGCCTCACAGCCGTACCCGAATTACGGTTGTAGCCACTAATGGCCTGATTCTTGAAAGCTTAGCTTTCGATCAAAGTCGTGGAGCACCCGAAACCGTAAGATTGGCGCGCGCATTTCGATTGTGTTACTTGTCTGTATCGAAAACAACCCTCTTTACGCTTTTACTCACGCCACAGTACTGCTGTTCTTGCGCTAACCAGTCTATTATCCTCAAATATTTTTGGTTTTCCATCTAGTGCGATTTTCTGTGTGCGTTATTCTTATCTTTCGCTTGCTGCCATGGGATGATTTGTCGGAGTGTTCAATAGACCTCTCCTGAGCTTCGAAAGCGCCCCTGGGATTGAATTTTACATGTAAAACTTCACCTTGGGAGCGCTCTCAGCACTCAGGAGAAGTCTATTGAACATGTCTTGTATATTGTCACGTCGCAAGCTGTGTTCTTGAATTGACAACAGTATAGGACCAAGTATTTTTACCTTTTTTATGAAGGCATTCACCTACTCTACGAAGGCTGGAGAAATGGCTTGGCACGACGGTGATTTCAAAATACCCAAACCGGGGCGTTCACAAGTTCAAGTGAAAGTGTTGGCTGTTGGGATGAATCCGATAGACTACAAGTTGCCTCATATGGTGCCCTTCAGCTCTCGTGTGCTCAGAAACCGTCTCGTTGGCTTTGATTTCTCTGGTGAAGTGACGATCCCTAATGGTGAGTTCAAAGTAGGAGATGTGGTTTTTGGAGTTACCATGAAAGGCTCCTTGGGAGAATATACGATCGTTGATACTAATCGTATTGCCAGGGTGCCTGAGGGTATGGAATATACTACTGCTGCTGGTCTCGCTTCGTCAGCGTGCACTGCGCTCACTGGTCTACGTAAAGCTGATATCACCAAGTCGCCTGGGAATGTTCTGATCATTGGAGCAAGCGGAGGAGTTGGGTGTATGGCCGTGCAATTGGCTAAGAGTTTTGGTGCGAAAGTGTGGGCAGTTTGTAGTGACAAGAATGAGAAATTAGTGACATCTCTGGGTGCTGATCAAGTTTTGGACTATACCAAACCTGGGTTTACTTTCCCCAATGAACTGTGCCCGGCTGATAGCATTGATGTTGTTTTTGATACGGTGTCGAGTCCAGAAGATATGAATTATGAAGTACTGGTGAGGAAGTCTTTGAAAAGTGGGGGAAAATACATCGCAACGAACTCCCCTAGAGGGTTTGACGTTTTTAGAGCGATTTTGTCGAGTTTTCTGCCCTTCGATTTGCAACGGTCGGGATTTCACATGGTCACTGCAGACGTTTGCGGTGAGGATTTGAAGACACTTGCTGGTATGGTGGTAAAAGGCGAATTGAAAATGCCGATAGATGAAGTACTTCCTTTTACTGAGGAGGGGTGTAGGAAAGCTCTGGAGATGCTCAGGAGCCGGCGAGTTAGAGGGAAAGTTGTCATTGATATGATGAAGTAGGTAAATACGTAGTTGAATTTTGGAGTGATGATGATTACGATATTGTTGAAGTGGAAGTCGTTATTGACATGGTGAAGTCAGTTTGTGTATGTGTTACCGCATGATATGAAACAGCTGCTACTCAGCAGCCAGTAGTGATTTGTGATAGACTCTTTCCAACGCTAGGGCTTTGAGTTCAAGTATGCCTCCCGGTGCCGAGGAGAAGTTAGTCACATATTTGAAAATCTGAGCTGATATGATGATTATAATTTTGATATTGTTGACCTTTTGTGCGTATAAAAAGTAGAGGGTTTGTGGTCATTGGTTTGGTGAGGTTTTAGACTTCATGATGTAATGTTAGAAAATATGCACATGGTCAGCAACATGTGTTGGTGACAATATGAGAATTTTGAGGATTTAATTATTGTTGATTTCTGTAAACCTGTACTAGAATTCACGTACAATATTCATTATTAGCTTTGGAAGTTGCTGAGCTCAACTGAAAAAAAACTAATGCATATTCCTCCAACACTGATGGGAAATACCAACAATAAAAATTTCGCCTGTCGTTATGAAATGTCGTTATGATGCGGCCGACGATATGAAACTTTTGAGGGAATTCCGGTGAATTCTCATCAGTTTCTGTACATCTACTCCACTTCGTATATAAACTTCTATAGAAAGTGAAGAAACTTCCGAGTTCAGTCGAGGAAAGGGAACATATATTCCTCCAACACCGCTGAGAGTTGTCGTCTAGTTGGCTGTATTATATATATGCATCGTTATATCGCGAAATGTTGATGTGTCATTATATTATGATTACCTCTTCCCGTTTTGGAGCTATAGAAACTATCATCAACTGCCCTAGTGGGACTAAGTGTGCTGCCTCATCGTGTGTCTGCGTGCATGGGCACAGCGAGAACGTGAATACTCGAATATAAGTTGTCTCCTTTTGCACATGCTAGAGTTGATCTCCGTTGGAGTGGTAAGAGAATGTTATCATCGTGTTATGGGAACTTTCTGTCTACATTTTCTCATGGGGACATTTTTTTGTGTACAGTCAGCGGTACTTTAGCTTTCTAATTGGAGTTGTTGCGATTTTTTCCGGCTATTGTGAGGGTAGTCGTAGGTTTCCACGAGAATATTTTTCGTTTTCTGTATTGGTGTATTTTCTATCTCATTTTCCTCTACCATCTCCTCGCATTCCTGTTCGATTTTGAAGTGTGGATATTCGCAGATTTATTATTAAATTCTGTTAAAAATGAAGGCATTTCTCTACGGCCAGGAAGATCCCGATAAATATGTGTGGCATGATAGCTACGACGTCCCCGAGCCTGAGAACAAGAAACAGGTCCAAGTGAAGGTCATTGCTGCTGCGGTGAATCCCATAGACTACAAGTTGCCTCATCTCCCTCGTGGGGACAAAGTGAAGGGGCAGCCCATTGGTTACGATTTTGCTGGTCGTGTCACCCGCATCACCGATGGCTGTGAATATCGCGAGGGCGATGTGGTCTACGGCAAGGCCCTTAAGGGTTGCCTTGCTGAATACACTTTGGCTGAGGTCGACCGCATTGCCAAAGTCCCTCCCCAGGTTGATCCCAAGATCGCCGCTTCCCTGCCTGTTGCTAGTCTTGTTGCAATGCAAGGACTGAGACTTGGTGGTTGTGGTGAGAAGGAGGGTAGCGGTAAGAGTGTACTTGTGATTGGTGCAAGCGGCGGAGTCGGCCAAAGTGTTGTTCAAATTGCTAAGGCGAATGGCTGTAAGGTTTATGCTGTTTGTGGTACTTCTAATATCAATTTTGTGAAGTCCTTGGGAGCTGATGTGGTGACAGACCATTCCAAACAGGGGTTCGCTCTACCCAATGAGGACTGCCCTGCGGGGACTGTTGATATGGTGTTCGATGCGGTGACCAGTGGTGACGATTTCAACTATGAACCAACGGCTAGGAAGACCTTGAAAACTGATGGAAAATATATTTGTGTGAATTCGCCGAGTACCATGGACTGGGCTAGGTATCTTATATCATATTATACACACGTGAATGTCCAGAGGAAGAATTATTCTCTACTATGGACTGACACTAATCCTAAGGATTTGGAAAAGCTATGTCATCTTGTTATGGACGGTAAGCTGAAGATCCACATTGCTGAGGAGTTGCCTTTCACTGAGGAGAACTGCAGGAAGGCATATGAGCTCCTCAAGAGTAGGAAAGTTAGAGGAAAGATTGTCATCGATATGGGTGGCAAGTAGAATATCAAGACTCTACCTCGTAAATAGGAGGCTGCTGTTCAGAAGTGAATTGTTGAAGATGTTAAACCCTTCTCATCTATTTGTTCCGATTCGGTAGTTCAGGTTGTTGTTGAGTTATACAACAGTGTTGATGGACAACCTTGGTTAAATTAAGGTCCTAAACCTTCAAATAGATCGGGTATAATATAAGTCTTCTTGGGATGTCCTTCTTAGAAATATTATTATCGCCTGCGCAGGGGTGTTGAAGAATTATAGAACTAGATGAGAACTAGAAAGAATATTCTAGTTGGAAAACTGAGGAATGGAGAGAACTTCCCAGTATGAACCATATTCATACAGTTCGAATTGACGTCCACGCGTGACGAGTTACTTTTGTCATTCTCGGAAATCTCTAGTGTCGTAATAGGAGTTTCTTATTCGCAGAACGGCAAACTGCTCCTTTTTATATGGCGATACGCTCACTTTTATGGGTAAAAGTAAGCAAACTCCCATGGAAGCAGCAATTTGCACATTAGAATATGAATATTTGTCATATTCCTTTTTATTAGAATTACCTCAGATCAATGATAATATAAATATGAATAACAGAATACCTATAATACTAGCTATGAATAAAATGTACTACCTATGATATGTCCATTACCTCTATAAATACATATGATTCGTTTTTTTATGAGAGAACTTGCTAAAATTGTTATAAGCGGCAACCTCTATAACAATTTCCTGAAATACAAATGAGAAAACGATGTTCTTGCGGGTACACTCCGTTATGCAAGGTGGAGTACTTGTGAAGTGAGTCTCGCTACTTTGCTCTTTCGTATATCAGCCACTCTTCCCACACAACAACAAAAGAAGCAGAAAGTGTACATACCAGCAAATTAATATCTGTCCTTTTGCTACTTCGTAACGTCGCCTCCTGAAAGGGGGCCGGTTTGCCCCTAAAAGGTAATAGGACTCTTCGCAGCGAGATTGCGATATGTAGCATGATAGATAGTTGGACTTGACGCCGAGAATAGATGAAGAAGAAGGAAATTGCCCTGGCGGACCTTCAGTCGACTTTCCTGAGTTCCACTTCGTCCACTGTTTTAGGCTTGAGTCACGTTAGGGAAGGACATTTTACGACCCCTTTCAGACGCGTAAGAAATATAAGTACTTTGTTGATTATATGCACCGCTAGTATAATGATACAGATTCGATTCATGGATAACTCGAGATTCTAATATTATGTTGACATCTTGAGTTACCAATCCGCGAGAGGTTAATAGATTACAAATAGGTAACTACAAAACTGTACCAAACTACCCTAACTATAATTTCAGTGAGGAAATCCCTTTCAACTCGACAGTGAATTGAACTGAAGAAATCTTCTTGCGGGATCACCGAGCCAATAGTAGAATTCCTTCTGAGCTCTGGACCAGAATATATGATATACCACCTGTCATGTGCTGACCTGTTCTTTCTCTATTTTTTCTCTCCCCGAACCCCCCCCCCCTTTTCCCCCTTCTTCCACCTCCTTCGAAAACGCGGAGATCGCGTGATAATATTTATGGCATATGCTCGAGCTGTTAAAGTTCAGTTGCGCTCCAAAGTGACTATTAGAGGCCAATCATTAAAATGTGGCATTTTTCATAACCTGAGACTTCATCATCAGCTCCAATCGCAGGCGTATAGTAGTAATAATACATATACCTCACAAATACATGAAATTAGCTCCTGAAAGTGGCCTTGGGGCAGAAGGCTCCAGCTGACGCCAGCTCGAATAACTCACTCAACGAGCACTTACTAAAAACGACTGAGGTTACCCCATGAAGGTTGCTGTAAAATACTAACAAACTTGACTATAGCTGGGTGGAAAAATGGGGAAAAGTAGAAAAGGAAAAAGGGGGAGCAATAACCCAACTCCGAATACACATGTCGCTTTAGTGTCTTTGATGATTAATGGACGCGAAGCTACAGCAATACAGTAAATCTTTGCCCTCGAGAATAGAGTCCGTGGCGTATTTAAAGAATACAATCATATTTTGAAGAGTCTCTATGAATAATTTCAGGCTGACATGAGCAGCAGTTGAGAAGTTTGGGCTGAACACATGAAATTGGG